TGACAGGACAAGGGGCAACGGTTTTAAACGGAAAGAGATTTACATTAGATAAAAGGAAGAAATTTTTTATGACGAGGGTGATGAGACACTTGAAGAGGTTGCCCGGAGAAGTTGTAGTTACCCCATCCCTGGAAGCGTTCAGGTTGGATGGGGCTTTGAACAACCTGATCGAGTGAAAGATGTCCCTGCCCATCACAGGGGGGTTGGACTAGATGGTCTTTAAAGGTCCCTTCCGACCCAAACCATTCTGTGATTCTAATTAGTATTTAATATAAACTTCTGATGCCACACAGGATCTTGCGGTAGACGCTATGGGGGACAGGGAATAGTTCCTCTATCCATGGCAGAGCACTTGAGTCACAGTTAGTGACTAACACATGTTGTATTAGTACCTGTAGATCCATTTGAGATTGACGTTCTGTGTAATGTGCCTTATTTAGATATTAGTGGAGTTAACATCAGAAAAGGTGCTTGTTGCATAGCACAGCAGAACTTGGATTAATGGAAGAAATTTTGCATATTAGATACTGGGAGTGATGGAAGGCAGGTACTGAGTTTTGCATGTGATTGGTTTTTGTGAATTGTTACTAATGGCATGCAGGAGGAGTGGCTGAAAAGATCAGTTTCCTTTACAATGTACAGCCGTTGCGTATCTGAAAAATTTGAAGTTGTAAATATTTTAGGGGCCCAGAAATCAATAAAGGTTGAAAACCCTATTGATCTAAGTTGAGTAGCTAATATTGAATGATGTTTCATTTCTTATGGCAGTTCGGATTACAACTTTACAAGAAGAAGTAAAAAACATTAAAAACAATCTTGAAAGAGTGGAAGCGGAAAGAAAACAAGCACAGGATATGCTTAATCATTCAGAAAAGGTATCGTAAAATGATGTTGAGGCTAATGTTCTTTGTCAGCTTTTGACTATATTTTCAAATAGTATTTATTGATGTTGCTGGGTCCTGTGTTCTTGCTCTAAATCAGTCTTGGGTTAAAATGATTAACTAAATAGTGCTAATTTACAGTCTCATCAGGATGGTAAGTCTCACAGGTAGTTCTTGCTTGTAGCTTTGGGTGTAAAATTCTTGTTTGTCCTTCACTGTCACTGATTCAAAGATCCAATCCTTCTGCCAGTAGCGAGTAATTTTTGTTCTGCCTGACTAACTAGCGCCACAGAGACTTGCATTCTGAAAACCTAGGAATTGAACTTTTTAAAAACCTGAATTTTATATTTCTGCTTTTACTGGATTTTAATTTGCCTGGATCAGTGCCAGACCTCTTGATCAACTTTGGAGCTGAACTGTTTCAATTTTTTTCCTCCCTACCTTCCTTCTGTCCTTCCGTCCATCCTTCCTAAAGAATAGTAGCAGCATATTACCCTAACATCTCTGATCCCCGCCCCAAGATGGTGAAACAAGTAAAGTAAAGAAGAGTAAAAGGAAATCCTGCACCCTTTTTCCAGATAGGCTACATAGTTAGCTCTAAGTTTTGAGGTCAGGTAAAGACTTGCTGTGCTGTGTGGTCTATCCAAATAAACCAGAGAGATATGACTACGTATGAGGGAGGGTGCAAGTAGTTACAGTTTTCATTTGGTGTTATGTGAAGCAGTGATCCAAAGGCAAGTCTCTCTCTCAAAGCTCATCTCCAGTGCTTGTTTCATGAGTTACTGTTAATGGCTGGCAATCCTAAAAACAAATAACAGAATTGCATCCAGGTAACAATAATTCAAATTCCTCTGTGCTCTAGTGTTGTCGGTGGCTTAGTTGTATGTTTCCAATTTAGGTGAATACTAATTATTCAAACTGAGAAGTTTCCATTATCTTATGAATTTATAGACTACTGAAAAAAGTTAATCACATTTTTTCCAGAGCACTGAGTAAAATTTTTGTTTGTTACCATTTTTTATTAAGCATGGAAAATAACATTGATGATTTCTTCGTAACAAGTTAACACTAAAAAAGGGAAGAAAGGAAATTCCCTCAGATATTATAGAAATATTATAGAAATCTGGTAACTTTTTTTCTTATCTTTAGGAAAAGAATAATTTAGAGATAGATTTGAACTACAAACTCAAATCATTACAAGACCGGTTAGAACAGGAAGTAAATGAACACAAAGTGACTAAAGCTCGGTTAACTGACAAACATCAGTCAATAGAGGAGGCAAGATCAGTTGCAATGTGTGGTAAGTGTTTCTTGCAAGTTACAGGTAAATACATAATAAAAGGTATTTTGATTATGATATCTTAAACCACATTGTTTTATAATGTTTAATCCCTTGTATAAAGAAAATGCATATCAAAACCTTAAAATATACATAATGAAAACTACGCATTTTAAATTATTTTCTCTAACATAGTACTTGTATCATAAAAATTGCATTGTTTCTTAATGTTTTGAATTTCTTACTGCGTTTGCAATTCAAAGCCTTCCTTGGCTTCTAAAATGCTGTTGAATCTTGAAATCCTGGCTAATGCTAAAGGCAGTTGAAAGAATGCATTATCAAGACAGACGTCTTGGAGCATTCATTCCTGTGTAACTGCATTAAAAGTATCAGTGTTGTATTAGGCTTGTCTGAAGTGGTTAAGTTTCTCTTATAGATACATATCTGTGAATCAAAGATGTGTCTTGATACCTTAATTGAATACATTAGGTTTTCTTTGTGAAGGTCATCGGTATCTGCACGTGTAGTTTGTAACTTTTCAGAAAGCTAACACGAATGGTAGCATTTCTTTTCTTTCCTCTACTATCCATTCATGGAAATGAAACTGCCTTTATTTCATAATGATTACTTCAAGAATCTGCTTTTTTTATTTCTTTCACTATTTATCTTTCAGTTGTCATGATAATATTCCAATGCTTTGAATGCAAATTGGAATTATATTTCTTTTTTAGTGTTTCTTGTAATAATGCCAGGAAGTTTTTACTCAGTAATCAGTCCATCTAAGAGCAGAAGAGCTTAAATAGCTGAACAAAAGGATCTGAAAAATATTGGGATATTTAAGACTGTGTTTACAAAAGCATTCTTGTAGATGCTACATATTCATTTTTGTTGTTTTTTTCCTTAATCTTTTTTAGAAATGGAAAAAAAAGTAAAGGAAGAAAGGGCAGCCAGAGAAAAGGCAGAAAATCGAATAGTTCAAGCTGAAAAACAGTGTTCCATGTTGGACTTTGACCTTAAGCAATCTCAGCAGAAACTGGAACACCTTCTTGAACAAAAAGAAAGACTGGAAGATGAAGTAAGTAAAGTGCTCATCACTAACAATTTTCTATGTAAATAAGAAATTGAGAAGTAGAAAATTAAATTCACTTACACTGAGCTCCTTGTATAATACACTTCTCAATAGAACTGAAGACAGCTGTTGGCTTAAATAGTGTTAGGTAATTTCTGCTTGTTTCTTAGCTCTTGGATATTTGAACCCTTAGTTTAATATAATGCAAATTTTTGTGTTTCCTTTTCTTTTTTTTAAAGGAAAAACTTGCATGTGAATTTGACTGTGTAGTCTGATTGGTTTGGATGGTTTGCAGTTCTGAGTTTGCATTCTCCAGAAAAGCATTTGTTCAAGGAAATGCAATTAGAATATTGAGTGTGAAAACTAGGTACTAAGAATAATAGTTTCATCCTTACTTTTTCTTTACAGGACACTGGAAATGAAGGTTATAACACCTTTTTTAGGGGTCACGACTTGTGTAAATTAGTTTTTATATAGTTGGTAGGCTGCAGTTTTTTCTAGGGTGAGAAGTTTTTAAGATCTGAAATCCACAGAGAGGTTTGCAGGATCTTTCAGCAGACAATTTGGGTTTGTTCCATTGTTGCATTTAAGATAAGATAAAACACATTTGGGACTTTGAAATAAGCTAAGTATGGGGAAGCTTTATCATCATGGGATGTCATATCAGTACGTTCTGTAAGGGCAGCAGCTTTCTGTAAGATTATTGTACTGAAGTGTTTGGAGATTTAGAAATATTTTTATATGTTGTACAATGTGTGGCATCTAGGCAATGGTGTTTGACATAAAATAATCCATATGTGAAACACTTTCAACCACATGCAATTGGTTATTCAGCAAACGCTCGTAAATTGAAATATTTCTCATTTAGGTAAAGAATCTAACACTTCAGCTAGAACAAGAGACGAATAAGCGAATAATGGCACAGAATGAATTGAAGGCACAAGCTTTTGAAGCAGATAACTTGAAGGGTTCTGAGAAGCAGCTGAAACAGGAAATCAATACGTTGTTGGAAGCAAAGAGATTACTGGAATTCGAGTTGGCTCAACTTGCTAAGTAAGTAAAAATCTGAAGTAAAATGGAAAAAGTTGCTTAATTATACATGTACTGGTTTGCCTGTTCCTACTAGTGAAAAAAGTTCTCTGTTGCATAGCCATTTTTTCCTTAACTAAAAGAATATTTTTAGCTGCGTGTTACGACCTGCATGTACGTAGCCTTTGGTGTTAGACTATTTTTGTTACGAGCTATGATGCAGAACAATTCTTAGCTCATCATTCTATGTCAAGGCATATACATATGCCACTGTTATTTGAGTGACTTCTTTATGGATTGATTGTGATACTACTTATTAAATCGTATGGGACTTCTACTTTTACTACATGGCAGTCAATAGCTTTTTTTCCCCTTTAACTACCTGATTCTTTTTCTTAACATTTCTTAAGTTGACTGAAGACATTTTTCATTCATGAGGCTTCTATCGTATCTTCCTTCAGCTGACTTAACATTTCTCCATTTAGAGTACTTCTTGTCTTCTAAATTACGTACTAAATTACGAAAAGATCATCAGCGTAGAATAAGGAATGTAATTACATCAGAATTTTAGGATACGGCAAACTGTCAGTCTTTGTGAAATAATATGTGTGCAAATGTAAGATCTTCATAGGATGCTGTTCTGGTTAGAAATAGTCTGTCTTTGTCATTTGTTAGTAGCTGGCTTTTTACATGTTTTCCTTTTTTATTCCTTCAAAGACAGTACAGAGGAAATGAAGGTCAAATGCGTGAGCTTCAGGATCAGCTTGAAGCTGAGCAGTATTTTTCGGTAAGACTTGCAAAGAATTGAGAGTGCTACATTTTGACATGAAACCATTGAACAGTGAATAGTTTGACATATTAAAATTTTTAAAATGCAAATAACAACTTGGCATAAATCAGCAATTCACAAAATCCTGCTTGAAATACAAACAATGAACAAAAAATTAGCGAACATTAGATAGTCTGTCTAATATGTTTCTTGTAGTTGTTAAATCTTATATATTACATTGAGTAACTCTTACATGAATTATTCATCAAAGTAGTTTCTATCTTGAGGTTGGAGAAGAGATATTTTTCTGACGTAATTGCAGACTTCGTAGAGAGTTCAAAATCTCCATACTTACAGGAATATATTCCATGCTATTGATCTACTATAAGTATATTTAAGAACCATAGATCCGGTAGCATTCTGCATATGTTCCTCATCCTTCTAAAAAGATACCTTCTCTGCACCTGAGTCCCTGAAGAGCCTTATTTGGTACTCCAGGTAGCCAAAATGTGTATATCATAAATTCAGTTTGATCTGTTTCATTTCGGTGAAAAGAAACAATAGCATGAGATGCTCTGTAATGCCTGAACTTCAAATCCATTTGTGAATATGGACAGTTGCACTTCACTTTGGGAAGTACTTTTTAAATTCAGTTCTTCCTTGGAGGGGCAATAAAAATTTTTGTGTTTACTAAGCGGCATATGGTTGTAATTTCATTATGTGTTACAGATTTTTGTGCATTTCTCCATAACATACTGGTAATAAGATGATCCAGCGTGTTGTGTTTCATTCTCAGTTTTCTCTTTTTTCGCTAGCATGTAGTTTAAATGTGACATTTGTAATTCAGTCTGAATATTTAGAAAAAGTACTTTACTGTAGAAGATCAAATTTTAACTTTCAAATTTACTGGTGGTGTTAATAACAGTATAGTAATTAAGAACAGAAGTCATTCACGTAAATCAGATCTCTGTTGAATCAGTTATTAAGACAAAGTCAGTCTGTACACAAAAAACAGTCTAAGAGAAAAGATACATGGATACAAACAGAATACAACAGATGGAAGCATAGGACAGTATTAGGCTTGTTTGACTAACATTTTGAGACTGATGCTACAAGAGGACGCAGTTTTGTCCTGTTGTCTCCAAGAGACCTGCTCAACTGTGTCCTAGTGCCTTCCTTCGCTTTTGTCAGCAGGTGTGTTTGTACAACTATGTAGGAAACCAGACTAGAAAATTGAAAACTAATCTGGTGATCCTACACAAGGGAAACTGGAAAAGAGCATCTCAGATGGGCAGGAAGGAAGAAATTCCATTAAAGACAGTACTGGCATGTGTTGGGGTTTGGCAGACTCAAACCAACCAGTAGCAAAATAATGAAGAATTTCACTATGGAATTTGAATAATGATTCTTTTTTTATGCTTTCTTTTCAGACACTTTACAAAACTCGGGTTAAGGAACTGAAAGAAGAAATTGATGAAAAGAATAAACAAACTCAAAGAAAAATGCAGGAATTGCAAAACGAAAAGTATGCCCATTGTGTTTCTCAAATAGACTTAAGTTTTTCCATATAGTATGGTCTCACTCATGAAGATTTTTGAATCAGATTTAAAATGTTTAATTCCTTCAGAAAGAGACAGGTCTCAAAAGTGTTCCATAACACCTTGTAAGATGGCAAATCCATAGGATGCTACCTATGCTGACTCACAAAGCCAAATACGGTTATTCATATTCGCTTTGGACTCTATTTGTAATGTCTGGAAGGAGAATGATGACTTCTGAGAATTTAGGAAGATGCAAAATTTTGAAAAAACATTACAATTTGTGGTAATCATCTTGCTTGTGTAACAACTATTTTTATTTCATTACATTATCCTGATAATTACTTGGTATATTTCTATAGCCAATAAAATAATTTGAAAAAAGATAATGAAAATACTTTGAATTCTAAGTTTAGTATACTTCTGATTACAGCAAAACCAATTAATCCAACAATCATGAATTGTGATGTACTATTTTCTAAGTTAGCAAATAAGGAAAGAAGATTTTTAAGCTTGTTTTTCCAATTTATTGATTTATTTAATATATATTTATTCTGAAGAAGGAGACTGTAGCCTTACTCATGAAGCAGAGCTTCTCTCTTCTAAAGTCTGGGTCTCTTGTTCTACTTGAGCATCAGCATTGCAAAACAATCTGAAGGGAGGAGGTTATGTACAGTGTTCATGATGCATTTCAGTGGGCTAAGAAAGGGAGAAAGAAAAGATGTTCGGCTGATAAATATTATGTAGAAGAAAAATACCTGTTTATGCAAAGCCATTAACCAACTTAAAAAGAAGAAAGGGAGGAGGGGGAGGGGAAGGAAGGAGACACTTCCTTTAGTCCTCTTGTGGTTTTTTTTTCCCCCTCTCTTTTCTTACTTATTTTTATAGATTCCTTTTATTCTATTCCCTCACTTGTTCTCCACAATCTTGTGTTCATCATAAACATTTTTCACCTGTATACAACTATGGGAATTGTGACAAACTCAGAATATACTTCAGGAGTTACCTTTTTACAGTAGAGGCTCATATCTACTACAGATGTGTCAAATCAGTGGACTCTCCATAGCAATAAGTATTTCACTGCATAAATCTCTTTTTATTTCGCAGTGCGGGAAGGGCATCTGTCATGAGCCCATACTGCAGTAATGTATTGCCATTTCTATCTCAGCATGCTGTGGGCTGTGTCACATGTTGCTGAGTACATCTAAATCGTGGGTTCTAGACTGGCCACCGTGCTTTATGTGGTTTTCTTTGCACGCAAATAGATAGGAGCTCTGCCTGTACTCCAAGCAAGAGCAAGAAAGTTTGACTTATATGCTGAACTGATTAGAAGTTGTGTATGTATTAATGAGATACTGCACCTAAGTTACTGCCCCCTGCTTCTCAAGCTGCAGATAGAATTTCCAAGCCTTTCTGCAAAATGTTGCATAGGCATAGAACCACTGTATGTTTTCAGAAACTTTATGCAATTTTCCTTATTGTTCGAACAGTTTGGAGCACACATCTTCATGAGCAGTAATCTTGTGTGCAAAAGTAGCTAATACTGGTAGGGTTAAGTATCTTTTAATGGACCACACTGTACATGCAATTTAGTTTTATTTTTTATTCCTCAAAGATAGGAGAATTTGACACCTGGTTTCCTAAGGATTGGTGTTTCATGGATGATTGAAATTTTAATTGAATTATAGTAAGCTTGCTGCCGTAGCTTGTGTGGACCATGAAAAGATACAAGTATACAGAATGTGGTTTTGTAAATCTTGTTTTTCTTAAGAAACTAAGATAATTACAATTAGATGAATGGTATATTTGGGTTTGATAGTCCTCCTGAAAATTTGCAATGTTTTGCATAGGAGAACAAAATCTTAACGTCCTTTTTACAGAGAAACGCTCACTACCCAGTTGGATTTAGCTGAAACCAAAGCTGAGTCAGAACGGTTGGCACGAGCACTCCTTGAAGAACAGTATTTTGAACTAAGTCAGGAAAGCAAAAAAGCAGCATCAAGACACAGGCAAGAAATGACTGATAAGGACAGCATCATAAGAAGGGTAAATTATTCCACTGTAATTAATACCTATATATCCTCCAGCTGGAAAGAGAAATTTATCTTTCTGTTTTAACTTATAAAGTCTTGTTGTGGTCATAAGTGATAATTATTTAGGTATCTGAGTTTTGGGCTCAGTTGGAACCTTAAACATTTAAATCCCATCATGTGAAGTCTCAAAGAAACGTAGACTCGATGAATCTGAGGTGAAGCCAGATTGAAAATCCAGCAAATATCTATAATTCAGTTATTAAGCCTTCTGTAATTACTTCTTATCATTGCCCAATGTATTTTTAAGATCTTGTAGATTTGTGGAGCTGTGTATTAGAGACTCTTATTGCAAAATTACTTAGTCTTTAAAAAAAAAACACTTGCAAGTCTTGAGTTTCTTCCCACTGGTAAACTATTTAAAAAAAAAACAACCCAAACTTTATAGCATAACTCTTGAGTATTAGTATCGGGTTGATAAATGTCTTAACTGAGGAGTTTCAAATAGCAAGCCATATATCGCACAGTTATTTTATAATTATTTTTTCCCATTTAGCATCAGCTATGCAGATTTTGTTAAGAATCCTGGGGGTGTAAAACTTCAGTAAAACTCTAGGCGTAACTGAAATTGGATCAATTGCTCAAAGCTTTCTGTTAGCGCTACCAAGGATGTTACATCTCTGTAAAGATAGCAGAAGTAGCGTTTGTTACACGTGATAAGCTTGAAATCTCCAGAATGCCACCATTTCTTAAGAAGCATTTAGAAGACACTCTGTCTATGGCATCGAAGGAATACCTTTTTGCCAATATGTTTGTTGGTTTCAAATATTCTGATAATTTTGTCAGACAGCTCGGTACACAATCATTTCTATGGGCTTCAAACAAAACCTTTTTTTCAGGAATGCAATTATGTCTGGGTTTTAATATGTATTTGTTAAGTGGTTAGCAAAGTGATCCTGACTCTGTCTTCTGGCAGCTAACATATTCAAAATGTAATGGTTTTCCTTTAAATTTTTTTTTTTGCAAACCTATGTACATATTTACCTATGTATGCTTTGAGTTAGACCAAATTTAGTTTTATTTTTATACTGATTTATACCTATTTTTCATGATATATGACAGTTACTTAGCAGCAGATGCCATGAATCTATTCTAGCCTTGAATGCTGGCGTTGTATCATCTATCAGCTGCTTTTCTCTCTGGATTCAGGGGATCAGGCCTCTAGGTACTACTTCTTCCAAAGTACCACAAATTAATTGAAAATTGCCACATTCAATAACTGACCACCTAATTTTGCTTAAGTTGAGTTTTTAATTATATACTACAGTCTTGTCAATTCTGCAAAGATCGTTAAAAAAAAAAAAAAGAATTCTTTCTGGGACAGGTGTATTTTGAGCCTTCTGGTAAATCAAGACACATTAAAAGAAAAGTATAATTTTTCAAAAAATTCAGGTTTGAAAGGTAAGCAGTTTTGGTTTTTTTTTTTTCATATAATCTGAGGAAGGTGTTCCAAGTAAACGGCTGTTACAGATTTAAGGGTATTTAAAATAATAGTGTTATAAATATTTTTAGAATTTATGGCAGGTTCTTTGTTTTAAAATGTGTTTGTTTTCGTTTAGCTGGAAGAAACTAATAACACATTAACCAAAGATGTTGATTTAATAACAAAGGAAAATTCAGAGATCAGTGAAAAAATTAAGAAACAGGAGGAAGGTATGTCATGTTTGGAGTTTTAATTCATTTGTTATGAAGCAGAATTAAATTTGAAGCATATGTGGCAAAATGGAAGTGGGAGAAGACATTGCTGTTTATCTTCCCTATTATTTTGGGCTTGATGAAAAATAATACAAGTAATTGTTTTCATCTTGAAAATACATCTACCATGTAAACTGCCACTCTTT